CTTACTATCTTATATCAACCAATACATACCTTGTCTGTACGATGGCAAGGGTAGGTAAAACTAATATTACTATTTACCATCCATACTACATACTATCATCCATATGACATACTCTCATGCATATTACCTACTATCATTTACCATCCATACTACATACTATCATCCATATGACATACTCTCATGCATATTACCTACTATCTTATATCAACCAACACATACCTTGTCCGTACGACGGCGAAAGGGTAAGTAAAAGTAGCAGCTATAGTTGAGGATACGGTGCCACACGCCAGCATCAGCATAGGCCCAGGAACGGCCCCTTTGTCGGCCACAACGCCCTTCAGAGTCTCATACATCATCAGATCCATTCCCGCATACGGTGCGGCGCCGATTAACGACACGCCTTGGGTGTCGCAAATTAGGGGGATCGTGTCGCAAATTAGTAGGCGATTGGGGTGATCAGTGGACTAGTAGTGAAGGGTTAGAGCACACAGAGTTTGACCCAAACCATTTGTCTCAAGTTTGCAGAGACTGTTTGTTGGAAACTGAAGAGGTCGTAAATTAGCTGATACTTATGACAAACTGATGAAGTCGTTAACAGGCAGGTACTTGTCACATACTGATGAGGTCGTAAACTAGCAGGTACTTGTCGCATACTGATGAGGTCGTAAATTAGCAGGTACTTATCGCATACTGATGAGATCGTAAACTAGCAGATACTTGTCGCATAGTGATGAGGTCGTAAACTAGCAGGTACTTGTCGCATACTGATGAGGTCGTAAACTAGCAGGTACTTGTCGCTAACTAATACAACGCTCACGCACAATACCTCGGAAGGACACGCACAACTGATACTTTCCATCTCACACAGGACACAGACACGGTACAACACACTCGCCCTCATACTCAGTCCTCTCAATAGACTTTTGGAGCCATCTGTGCGTGTTGAATGTACATGCATACACATCTAACCCACATACAACACATTTGCACACACACCTGACACACATGTATATCTCAAAACAAACACAGTTCAACATACTCACTCTTATACTCAGTTTTCTGAAGAGACTTTGGAAGCCGTCTGTGCGTATTGAATGCAAATGCACACACAACTAACACACTCATGCCCACACACCGAACACACATACACACACAACTAACACACATGCACCCCCATCTAACACACCCACACATCCACCATATACTCACAGCCCAGCACACTCACTCTCATACCCAGTCCTCTGAACAGACTCTTGACGCCGTCTGTGCGTATCGCGTGCGTGAATACTTGACTCACGTGAGTGTACGTGCCTGTCTGCGCAGTTATGTAGCGTGCCTTGGCAATGTCCAGAGGATAGATGACCGACGATGAGACCATCCCGGCTGCAGCCCCAGCTATACACCTCTCGCTATGTGTGCGTGTACATATGCGATGGATTGGTAGTTCGTACGTGCAGGCGGAGAGAGTGTGCGCGTACTTGCATACGGAGAGAATGGGTGCGTACATGCATACGGGGTGTTTGTACGTGTATAAGCGGTTTATTAGCAGCACGAGATGCATAGGGTGATTTAGTACTGAGATATGTATGTGAAGGTAAGGTCGTTTATGTATGTCTATATCAGATATAACAAAGGGACCAGGGGCACCCGAATTATTCAGCTGTACGTTTATGCTTGTGTGTGGCACTTTGCTGAGAATCGTTTCCCATTCACCAGATTTCAACACACACACATTCATGTAGATGCGATACGGTATTGTTGTTACTCTAAAATCAATATATATATATATATATATATATCACAA